CAGTGCTTTTCATTTTGTCAGGCAAAGCAAATAAAGAGATGTGTAGGTGTAAATACCATGAGATGTGGAGCTGATGAAATACAGATGATCCCGACTGAATGAGAAAGTCTAAAGTTTAATCTGTTTGGCATTTAGGTTATTTGTACTATGGTTTCTTAGAGAAATAACTCATTGTTGTAAAATTCAATAATAACATTTTTTAAAATGCAAAAGTGAATTTAAGACCATTGGAGAGTATTTAAGTAGTTGTACCTCGAATTTTTAATATATTGAATAAAATAAGAATTACTTTATGGCAGGGGAGAGAGAGATGAAACAAATTGATAGTAAACTATGATGATTCCTAACAACTAATTTTTCCACTAATGATCTGTCAGAAATCAAACAATCACATTGCTACACTCAGGGCAGTTAGGTGGTGCAGTAGATAGAGCATTGGGCCTGGAATCAGGAAGACTTCTTTTCTCGAGTTCAAATCTGGCCTCAGACACTTATCTAGCTGTGTGATCCTGGGCAAGCTACTTAACCCTATTTGCCTTGGTTTCCTCATCTGTAAAATGAACTGGAGAAGAAAATGGCAAACCACTCTTGTATCTTTGCCAAGAAAACCCCAAATGGGGTCACAAAGGATCAAACATGACTGAAAAATGACTGAACACCAAAAATTACTATAAGTGTCTTTGATGCCCTTTTAAATGTCTGGCTCTGAAGAATTACAAATTGTAATGCAGTTTATTTAGTCTCCCCCAAAAGAGCCATTTTGGTTTCTCTGGGCAACTCTTTCCCTTTTTGTGATAAGGCTATGTAATAATTTAGTTAAAAAGAAAAAAAGCAAAATCCAAAAACTTTTAATTCTGTTGCAGAAGAATAGTATATCTTCAAAACTATCTGTTGCAATGACCTTCACTATTAATTTGCATATTTTGAAGGTTTTTTTTGGGGAAGGCAGCTAAGGCCTCAATAACAAAAAAAGTAGAGAAGTTGCTCTCTTGAGGTTAAACACATTCATTCAGGTTTAAGTTTCACTTACACATACACACACATACAACTGTAGCTCTTTTGTTATATAACAGAAAGCTGGCAACAGTACAAGCCAGGTACTGTGGTTTAATTACTGGCTACATCATTCTTTAACTTGGGGAAACACGAGTGACTATGATGTGTGTGAGCCACGCTGCTGCTATGACAACCTTGTGAGGCAGGTGCTACTGGGTACCCACTGTCTTTCTTAGGATAACCTCAAATCTAATGACTGAATGCCCCTATCACCTATTATGTGACAGCTTCCTGGGCTAGCCTGTGATTCCTTAAGGGAGATATCACAGAGGCCCAGTCAGACACTAGGCTGCTTTTACATCTATAGCTTTCAAATTCACTCAACAAACATTTACTAAGCACCTTCTCTGAGAAAGGCACTATACTACTTCTCTGAGAAAGGCACTATACTAGGTTCTGGGGATAAAAATAGCACATATATCATAGAAATAGCAGAGACCTTGCTGTCAAGGCAATAATATGAAAGAGCAAAGACAACTGAACAAGTAACCTAATATAAAGAAGAGTGAGGTAAGTACAAGAAAGAGTGAGATAAGTACATGGGAGTGGTCTGGGCAAAGTACTATGAAAAGTTTAATGAAGAAATGACTTCATCTGGGGAGAGAGGATGAGGGAAGGCCTCATACAGGTAATACCTGAGTGATATTTTGAAGGAAGGGCAAGAGTCCAACAGAAGAAGATGATGTGAGAGAAAGAGGCAGAATCTCTTCTAGGCAAGGGGAGGGAGGTAAAATTATAGTCCATGTTAGAGGTGGAAAGAGTAGAGGACGGTACACAAAGGAGATTAGTATGTGTTATGCCTGAAAAGGTGGCTAAAAAATATCACCTTGCGACTAATCTGATGGGGAGTTCTGAAAGCCAGGCTGCTTCTTAGACAACAGACGTATAATCTATCATCAGTCACATTCACAAAGGCTTTCTAGATTGGGAAGACCAACCAGGACATATGTGCTTTGGGCATAGCTTTTTAGAACCCAAGGTCATAATGAGACATCATAACAGGATAGATCTTAAGCTAGCATAATCAGAGTAGACAGGCTGTGTATCTTACATACAGTATAACTTTATGTTAGTTATAGTTTAAATATATACACGTGTGTGTATGCCCACATATACACATTCTGTCTTATTGTTCAAATGTTTCATACATATGCTGATGACAGGACTCAAGATAATGACACGTGAAGATTGACTGGTGGAACGAGGGAATTTTTAGCCTAGAAAATGCCTAATATTTATATCTCATTTTAGCTTTCCATATTATTTCATTTAATCTTTACAACAACCTTGTGAGGTAGCTGCAATTATTATCCATCCTTTATAGATGAAACTGAGGCTACGACAGGCTAAGTAATTTGCTCAGTTAATTTGCACTTAAGACTTGTTAACTGATCTGCAAATCAATGTTTAATAATAGTTATCCATTCCACATCTTCACTTTCCCAACTTTGGTTTCAGTATACCATGGTCCAGGTAAAATTTTGGGGGGGTTTTGCAGAAGCTGCAGACAACATGAAAGAACCAGCAGATGACACAGAAAAATACTGAACCCAAATTTTACAATAAGGTACTGTAAACATCCCATAAAAGAAAATGAAAAAAATTCAGACTTCTTCATTGGTACAAAGGGACGGCCAAAAAAATTTACCTAGATTTTAAAGATCACAGGTGCACTACATCCCTAAACTCACTGCAATGCGGAAAGGATAACTATATTAGTAACTCAAATGTATATAGTTACAGTAACCATGTACTTCACATATAAACAACCAAACACAATAGGATGCCAACACTTCTGGGACAGCCTATATATGAGGTGGACAATGTGAACTATGCTATTCTCCCTTGACAGAAGAGGACCTCAGGTTCAAAGATAACACAGTCAGTGTATAAAAGATTATGGTGGTTACTGTCCTTCATTCTCAAAGAGGACCAAAACGATGTCACTATATTGGAATCAAGGTACAATGTGTCCTACTGTGGCTGATCAGACCAATACGAGAGTGGAATGCTCTACCACAGGTCGGGCACAAATAATTCATGGGAACATTTGGGGAGGATTCTCTAAATTTGCACATCTCTTGTTTCTTTTGAGTTACTTCAATTCTGCTTTGCTCACAGAGCACCTTCCCTGAGGAGGGCACGCCATGTTGGTCAGTCCTGTGCCAGTGTCTCCCATGTCACATAATCAATTCCAAAGTTCTTAAGAGGAATCTTGAGAGTGTCCTTGTATTGTTGTTTTCTGACCATCATGTGAGTGCTTGCCTTGTGTGAATTCTCTATAAAATAGTCTTTTAGGAAAGTGTATATTTGGCATTCGAACAACATGGCTAGCCCATTGGAGTTTCACTCTCTGCAGTAGAATTTGAATGCTTAGTTTGAGAAAGGTAATAAGAGGTAGCCAGGATTTACACCAGCTTCATCGGATTGTAAGTCTAATGCTCTTTCTAGTAGTCTCTCAGTTAGCATGTCCCATTGACTGGGACACGGAAATAGCTTCATTTTATAAAATGGAGTATCATGAGGGTACTGGTTAAAACAAAATTCTCTTTATGCAAAGTATGAATGACATATTGGCTCTTCTTTTAGACCATTTAAAATAACTAGACAGTATAAAATACCTGAGAGTATACTCGCTAAAACAGACATGGAAACTATACAAATATAAAACACTTTAGGGTAATATTTATTGTTCGTGTAAAGTAAAAATAAATAATCTTTATTTTTTAATTATTTTAATAATTATTAACAATTATACAATATTATATAATTACAATTATAATTAATAATATAAATAATTATTTTAATAATATTTATTTTTTAAAATTAAAAAAAATTTTGGTAAAGCCAAAACAATAAAAAAAAGGACAATTTTACCTAATTTATTTATGTAATGCCATACCAATTAAATTACTAAAAAAGTACCTCAATGAGTTACAAAAAAATAGTAACAAAGTTCATGTGGAAGAATAAAATGTCAGGAACTTCAAAGAAACTGGGGGAAAAAAGACGGAAAGAAAACCAGTTCAGTAGTATCAGACCTTAAACTATATTATGAGGTGGGAGTATTGCTGAAGTGCGAAATAAATAATTTTGATTATTTTAAATTAAAATTTTCTTGTACAAATAAAACCTATGCAGCCAAGAACAGAAGGCACGCAGAAAACTGGGAAAAGACTTTCACAGACAATCTCTCGGACAGAATGTGATTGGGTTGGAATACAGCTGTGGTGTAGGAAACAGTGAGCTGGTTGACTTAGAAAAACATAGAAAGATTTGGACTTATGAAAGAAAATACTATCCACATTAAGAGAAATAGATGACAACTGGAAATAAGCATAGTATGGTCTTACCTATATGTGTATGAGTGTATATATGTATATATTTATAGACACCTGTATCTACCTATATCTGTGCTTAATTGTAGCTTTCTTGGGGGGAGGAGGCAGTGGAGGGAGAGAAAAAAGAAAGTAAAAAGTGCACAGCAGAGAACAAAAGAAAACCTACAAGGAAGCAAAGAAAAGCCAGAGAGCTTTGAAAACAATATGTAGTATTTACTATAAAGATTTTCTTGAAATGAAAATTTATTGTTTTATATTGAATACTCTCTTATGTTCTGCTGTATACATGGCAATGTTTTTTCCTTTTTTTTCCTTATTTTGTATTTAAGTTCAAAATAAACTTAAAACTTAAAAAATCATAATTCAACAACAAATATTATTGCTTATTATCTACAAACCACTTCATACTAATGAAATACGGTCTGTATCTGAATAACCCATTCTCATAGCAAATGAAATAACCAAAGCATTACCTCATTTGAAAATGAAAAGATAAACAGGAGAGTAGATTTGAGTTACAGAGAGGGCAAAGAGAAGTGTTAAAGTGGGATACTGTTTCGAGGACAAGATGATGTTAAAAAGAAGGGTTAAACACGGCCTTACCCAGCAACTAAGATGTATTTTCCATCTGCTTGATCTTTTAGCCTCTCTAGCAGGGACAAGCGTACTTTGGCTTTGCTTTGGCCATAGATTTCAATTTCATCTGCAAGCAATCCTATCTCCTTGGCAAGGACATCAACAGCTTTTGGAGTCTGTCCTCTGGAAATCTCAATATCACTGAAAGAAAAAAACAAATAAAGGACAAGGGACTTCTCAGCCTAGGTGGTCGACAACAGAGCACAAAAACACGAATTAGGCCATCGATCAAATTAACATAACCTGTCTGTTTAGGGCTTTTCCCCTGAGTAAAAATGATTAAAGCTAAAGAAAGTATTGGGGTTTTGTTTTGTTTTTTTAAAGAAAAGCAACTCATTGGTCTTTTCAGAATTAATCTAGGCAATGGAGGATAAAGATAATACTCATGTTAACACCCTTCCCCTCAAAAACTCCCCCAACATGTCCAATGTATTATTTATATCACTGTATGCCCTGAAGGATGACTAAATCTGTGTTATAGTTGGGTCCTTTTATGTTCTTTAATCTTCCACATATCAAAGACCACATAATGTTTTTATGGTGGTCTGGGCACATAAGTCTCTTCGATGTTTAAGAATATGAAACTGGAATTTCATTTTACTTGTGGACCATTTGCTTTCTTCTTCCTACATGTATTGTCTCCTCTCAGTAGAATGTAAGGTTTCTGAGAGCAAGAATTGTCTTACTTTTCCATTTGGATCCCCAGTGCTTAGGATGGTGCTTTGTAGAGCATATCTGCTTAATATATCTCTCCCTGCCACCCCAGTCCTTCATTCTAAATCCAAAAACCATGCTTCAAAAATAATTTAACTGCATAACTCAGACAGAAAGAGGAAGCAGGACAGAGGGGATAGAGGGCAAGTCTCAAAGTCACCAAAGTTTCAAGTCTGGTCTCTGACATGTACTTGCTATGTGACTTCAGACATTTTAATGTCACAGTGCTCTCAGGAAACTTTAAGATTGTAAGGACCACAAATTTAGAAGAGACCTTTAATAGCCCTTCTTTTTACAGATGAGGAAACTGAGGCTGAGAAAGGTTAAGTGATATTCCAGAGATCACTCATGTAGTAAGGGACAAAAAGGTGGGGCCTATATCCTCTGATTCCAGACCTAGTGCTCTTTCCACTGCACTGCACTGGGTTTTGGAAGGCAGCATAATTTGCTGAGCGTTTACCAGAGAGGGTTGGTAGAGGGAGTTTTTACACTTGGTGTTCCCATACACCAATGAAATCACAGTTCACAGACAAAAATAATGAGCAGTTAACTCTGAAACAAAACCACCTAGGGATCAACTTCATATTTAGTAAATCTGAGTTTGGATTGTGTCCAGAGAATCCTGGGAAAATCACAGAGCCAATCAAATCTGCATCCATATTCTACCAATGCTGCACTATACATCTCCTATGACTTCCCAGGGTGCCACAGAGCCTCCTCCAGACAGGGAGTGAGTCCTTTTTCTCTCCTTCTGCCATTCCTAGAGCCAAAGGCAAATTCACCATGTAGCCCTAACACCAAATTCTACCCTCCACCGCGGCTTCCCTGCGCTGTATGATTAGTTCAGTAAAGGATATGAAGCAAACCACATCCTACAGGTGGGTGTGCTGCACAGTAGGCATGTGGAGGAAGTGAGATCAGTGTTGGGGATAAAGGACAAACTCATCCACTGAAGCAGAAAAGACAGAAGGCTACCCAAGGAGCAAAAAGTCCAGAATGAGCTCCACAGACCCACAATGCGTGGAAGATCAGAGCAACACACGTCTCTTGTGTGTTGGACCCAATCAGGTTCCTAGGGCGCTTTTATCTTGCTACTTCTTCCTTTTCTCCCCTCTCTGTTCTAACTGCTTTTAATCGTCTCTAGTAACTAAGTCAGTAAGGTAGAATTTCAGAATTCTTTAAGGATTGTCTTCTGACTAAAAGACACATGCTAACTTCATTTTAATTTTTTTGTGACCTGAAAACTGCCTCAATGTCTTGGTTTCAGCGGCAGGGGAAGCCAAATTTTGCAAATCAAACTAATGCATCTTTAAAAGAAAAAAATCCTACTTCCCAAAGGTGAAGACAGAGATTTAGGGGGTACATATTGGTTGACTAGAGATAGTGAATCTACCTTAACTGTACTACATCACCCAGTGAAGGACTCTATTTTTGTATAAACCTGATAACTACAACAGGTAAAATGGCTTTCCACTACAAACATAACACATTTTAAAACAGAGAGTTTACAATCCTAAAGTAATGAGTTTAGATTACAGAATCTTTTTTAACTACTGAGAAAGATTAACTTGGCTACTTTACTTATTAAGAAAAGACAAATGTTGCAAGGTAAACGGGCAATAAATGGTTAACTCCCAAATCACATCTCTTATAAGCCATTTCACTAAGGAAACACAGACAAGTGTGCCCCTGATATCAGAATAATACAGACACTGGGGCAGCTAGGAGGCCCAGTGGATAGAGCTCCAGCCTTGGAGTCAGGAAGACCTGAATCCAAATCCAACCTCATCGACACTTGACATTTACCAGCTGTGTGACCCTGGGCAAGTCACTTAACCCCACTGCCTAGCCAAAAAGAAAAAATAATAATACAGACATGCTTTTACCTGGGGACTGGTGAGAGTGGCTGAAGCTTCAAACTACGAAGCTTCCACCTCCTGTACTGCTGCTCCCGAAGCCACCTCCTCCCACTGTTAACCACATTCTTGAAGAAAGAAACAGAAAAAGAAGTTCTCTATTTTCAAAATTAGAAGTTATACTTAAATACAAAGAATGTGAAAAGAGACAATCACAGAGGCAAAAATATCACATTAATATAGTGTTTTCCTCTCAGCCACCCTCTGAGGTGGATTGAAGGAGTCTAAACACTAAAAGGTAAAATTCTGTACAACATATTTAGGCTTTGTGGGATTTGGAGGGGGGTGAGGGAATGAGTAGAGTAAGAGGTTTTAAAAAGCAAAACTGGAGAATTTGTACATTATTAGGAAAAACTGAAACAGGAAAAGGCAAAAGACAATGAGCAAGCTACCATCAATGAAATTATTTCATGTTTAGTTTGTCAGCACTATGTACTGTGGGAGTAATTCTCTCCCTTCCTATATCCCAAAACATGGAGAGTGCCTTTACTTCATCCTTTATTATCTAGGAAGTTTTTCCTGCCCCACTAGAATGGCAAGAACATAAAATTATCCAGGTGGTAATGAGAGGGGCTTCAGGTGAGGTCTGACAGAAGCTAAGGAGTTAAGTTTTACACAAAGATAGGGAATTGCTTGGCTGGAACTTCAAAGGGGGAAAAATAGGATAAAAACAATGGGTTCTTTCAGTCTACAAATCTCCTCCCTTTCAGAAAATCTCTCAACCTCTGTCTAGCCAATCACCACTATCTCACATAACAGTTTCAGTAAAACTGTACTCTCAGGAGGCAAATTAAGTATAACAAACCTGCACAATTCAGTTTAGGTCAAATGCTTCACAGTTCTTGTTATCAGTGTATGTTTTCTTTGAAGTGGCAAAAAAAAAAAAGATAGAAGGTGTGTGTGTATGACTAAGAAGAAGGTAGGCTGGTCACGTTCCAAGATCAGGAGATATCTGGTAAGTAGCCCCCAGGCCTCCATTGGCATCCATTAAATACCAAGAGATCAAAGAGGGATACTTCTAGCAAGCAGGGTAGACACCATATGGAGGATGTACAGGAAGATAAGAGTTACACAGGATGACTAAGGTTAGGATTCTTAAGGGGAGAAGTGATCTTGCCCCTGGAGGAATTACCCCCACATCTATGTCTTTCTTTCAGAATAATGTAATATTTGGCCAGCAAAAGGTAAAAGGTTTAACAGGTACAAGAAAATTCATTTATAAGCAAAACTTTGATAGGGGATAAAAGTACATAAAAAGGAAGATATATTGGCCTCTTTTAACTTCTCCAGGTCCAATGGTAACATTTAAATTATTCTTGATTTTCTGACACTCTAATCAGGACTAACAATCCATAATGCATTCTTTTCTTCCCCTCAATTAATAAAATACAAGGTTTCAATAAATGGCCAACATAGTTCACTGCTAATATGTTTATCTGTATAAATGTAGAGCATACACTCCCATAATACAGCTGGCCCTTTTTTAATACCTATACCTCCAGAATAGTAGTGTATATTGTACATAGTATATGCAAGGTCACACTTAAGGAATGTTAGTAAAAGCACATTCCAGTATTCTTTTTATAAAGATCTAGGGTGTTCAATAATAATAATATTGTAATATTTTGTGATTTAAAAGCTTCACCCACTTAAGGTTCTTGGAAAGAAAACAAGAGATTAGTTGCATTTTGTTTCTATAGCAGTTATCCACCCAAATTAGATCTCAGGTTTCTTCCCTTGTAAAGAATGTCATTGCCAATTACCGGGAACCAGTATTGACAACAAAAAACAGACATTCTGCTCCTCATCAAACATGGAACCCAATGAACTGCAAGAGAGGCAAACAAACCTGAATCCTCAGGGCTGCAGCAAGGAGACCTACATCATCTTCTACAGTCAGGCCATTGAATTGAACATCATATTCATGCTTCCCTGCAAAATGTTGGGAAAAAGACATCACTACAAAAGTTTGTTCTGACGAATGAATAATCCTTAAGAAAGACAGTCATAGTCATAGTCGATAACATAGCAAGACAGTTATGATTCTGGGGACAGGTTACATCAGGTCATCAAACAAGGTGACAGAATTTAAATCTCAAATTCAGGCCTCTTCCAATATAATAAAACCACTTGGCTGTCATGGGCATTTAATGAAATACCCATTACTCAAGTTCTTAACCATGAAACAAATGGAAACAGTGCCATTTGTTATATAACTCTTCTTCTATTAACTAAATAAAGTATATAAATTATACAGAAAAATTTATTAGCACTAAAACCTCACCACTGAGAAATAAATTCCATTCATTCATTAAGCAAATTCCTTTGAGCACAATCCAGAATATTATAATTAAAAGCGTTCATTTAAAAATACGGTTAAATTAGGGATACAGCTGATTGCTCAAAACAACAAAGGCAGGACTTTTACTGTAACAAAAACAATTTAAGTGAAAATTCTCAAAGTGACCTATTCCTTCCAGAGTGAAATTCTAGATTTGGAATTTCAGTCCTATCAGAAGCTGCTTTGTTATTTATTAGGCAGTGTAAATAAACTAAGAGATTGTGCTCTAGAATACAAAGTTAAGCAGCAAAGCACCCTCTTCAATAACGCCCAAAAGAAAGAGGGCTTAGTGAATGGGGAACAGGTTTGCTCTGAGAATCTCAACTTGTACCACAAAACTGATCTGTCTTATTTTTCCTTCAAAGAAGATACTAACATAAAAATATTAAATTTAGGAGCTTTCTGACTAGAAAAAAAAAGCCATCAGGCTGTATCTACTCTACGTTTTTTCTTTTGAAGTTTTAAAATTCTCTCTCTCTCTTTCTTTTTAAATAAAGGTAATTTAGATCACCCTCTCCCCTTCTGGATTTTCTCTCTCTCTCTCTTTTCATGCTCTACTATTTCTTCTCCTACCTCTCTGACTACTCCACTCATCTCCTTGGCTGGTTCTTCATACATGCCATGCCCAATAACTATGGGTTTCCTCCAAGGGACATATCTCCCACATTAGAATGTCATGTCTCCCATATTAGAGTATGAATTCCTTGACAGCAAGGACTGTTTTTACCTTCTTTGTTTTCCTAGAGTTTTGCATAGGGCTGGGAACACAGTGAATGCTTAATAAATACATATGCTTATATCCACAGAACTATACAAATACATCACTTATAAACATTATTACAAGCAAACACATAATATCCTTCAAGGCACCCCCTTGAGTCTTTTCTGATGGAGGAAAGAAGCATCTCCTATGGTCATGCTCTGAATCAAGTATCATTTTCTTTGCCTTGGAACTATTATGCTCTTAAACTATCCATTTTGCTGACAACACATTGGAAGAAACAGCAGCAAAGCACATGAAGTGTATGCTTTTGTGTCAGATTTCTTGAAGGCGTTAGACAGTCATTCCCCTCAGGTATTGTGTGAAAATTAGCAGCCCTTCACTTTTACAAATCATCTTTAGGAAAAGGCCAGAAGTCCATTTGGCTGGGTAGTTTTTCACCTCTAGAGATTTGGGCTCTAGGCCTCATCCACCCACTAGTGAGAAGAAATGTGTTGCTCTCATCTTGTCCTCATCTGTTTAAACCATAAAGCTGGGGGTGGGGAGCGGAGGGTGGTGCAAGATACCCACAGCATGAAATTGTGCTCCTTTCTAATTTACCTTTCTTCTTCCTTCCCTTCCCTGCGATAGATATATTTTAAGCACTGTCCCACTGGTGGCAGTGTGGAAAATTTTTCATGTTCTTATCCATATAATGTTTCATTTTCTTTCAGTTTTTTCAGGCCTTTCCCTTCATGAACGCTGCAGGAATATGCAAATACTGTGGGCATTTATGTGTTATATACATGTACCATAATTTAGCTAAAGGGATATTCTTAGCAAAAGAATTAAATCACCCCACAAACAATCTCAAATATTATTAGGGCAAGTAATAAATGTTATCTCCATTTAAAAAATGAGTACAAAAGCTTTGAGTTGAGAAAATTCAACACAGTTAACAAGATTAATATCTTACTTAGTCTTTTCATCAAAGCAGAAGAGGTCATTTAATTATGTAAGTAAACACTAAGTGCCTGGTACTAATTATGCTAGATTTGGGGGATAAAAAGACAAAAATGAGACAGTCCTTGTCCTCAAGGAGCTCACTTTCTACCAAAGGAGATAACACATACATGTACACACATACATGCACATATGTATTTATAAACAAAATACATAAAGTCACTAGCATCTGGGAGGGTTGTGCAGAAAAGTGTTGAAGGTGAACATTAAAGGAAACCTTGGATTCCAAGGGCTGGAAGAGAAAGAGCATTACAAGCATAGGGGGACAGCCAGTGCAGAGGCACGGAGAGATGAGATAAGAGTATCATGTATGACACAAGAGGGCCAATATAACTGGGTCAGGTTGAGATCTCTGGAGCTATTATATCAGGCAGTCTTATGTAACAGGACTGCAAATTATTTTAAAAGATGATCTTTCATTTGAAATTTTTCTCCTCTTAACTGGACTTTTGGAAGGTTTTTTGTTTAAGGATAACACATTGCAAGGCTTTTGCTGGAAACATGAACAGCTTTTACCCCAGTCACTAACTGATACTGGTTGTTTTAAGATCACCCAGGGAACTTTGCCAGAACAATAAATGAAGTGGGAGGGCCCAAGTCAAATTCCTTTGTCCAACTGCCATCTGCTTCATAGAAACACTTTGGTTTTTATTTGATTTGGCTGTGGATGCTTTCCTTATCAAGAGAGAGAGTTTGGGTGAACACAGAATCAATCTCTTTTAGCCCAGGTCTGTTTCTCTCTGTATGGCCCATACAATTCTGCAACATTTATACGAAACTAGCAATGACTAAAATGTAGACGTTGTACTCATTAGTACAGAAAAGGGCTTTCTCATCCCTCATTAGGGAGACAGGACACTAGTAACTGAAGGGACCAGGAAAGGCTTCATATAAAAGATGGCACTGCAGCTGTGTCTTAAAGGAATACAGTGATTCTGTGAGGCAGAAGTGAAGAAGGAGTGAATTCCAGGTGGGACAGACTGCTAGTGTGAAGTCACGGAGATGAGAGATGGAGGGTCACACACAAGGAATTGAGAAAAGGTCAGTTTGTTTGTTCTGCAGAGCATGAAAGGGAGAGTAATGGTGAGGCCAGAAAAATCAACAAGCATTAAGCGGGTACTATATGCCAGGCACTGTGCTAAGCTCTAGGGATATATAAAAAAAGTGAAAAAGACAAAAACCAGTTCTTGCTCTTCAAGAGTTCACAGTCTAACAGGGAAGACAACACGCAATTATATTCCAAAAATAAAAAGATAAAGGATAAATAGGAGATAATCTCAGAGGGAAGGAAGATTAAGGAGGAATGGTCTTGCAGAAGTTGGAATTTTAGCTGAGACCTGAAGGAAGCCAGGAAAGCTAGGAAGCTGAGATGAGGAGGGAGGGGTCAAAGGCATGGGGAAAAGCCAGGGATGATGTCTGAAGTAGGAAGATGGAGCAAGGCAGCCAGTGTCACTGGACAGCAGAGTATAGCAAGGGGAGTAAGGTCTAGCATGACTGGAAAGGTAGAAGAGAGGGCAGGTTATAAAGACCTTTGAATACCAAAAAGGAGGTCTTATGTTTGGTCTTAGAGGTGACAGGGTGCACTGGAGTTCATTGAGGAGGTGGGAGGCAGAGTATGATGATGCTGACGCTGGGGGAGAAAGAAACATGTGCTTTAGAAAAACCATGCAGAGGAGCATGGGATGGATTAGTGAGTGCAGTCTTAAGACACAAAGAACTAGAAGGCAATGAATGAGGTGATAAGGACCAGTAATAGGGTGGTGGCAATGTCAGGAGAGAGAAGAGGGCTTATAGGAAAGGTGTTAGGAAGAAAGATATGACAGGATTTTTACAACTGATTGTTAGAGAGAGTGAGGAGTGGAAGACGACACAAAGCTTGTGAGCCTAGGTGACTGGGAGGACAGTGGTACTCTCCACAATAATGAGAAAATTTGGAAGGTTTCGGGCGAAAAGATAATGAGTTCAGTTTTGGACAAGCTGTGTCTGAGATTCCCGTGAGAACCCAGTTTGAGGTGTCAAATAAGCACCTGAAGATAGATCACTGAAGTTTGGGAGAGAGATTAATGCTAGACAAATAGATCTGAGGACAATCAGCATAAAGCAGATAATTAAATCCATGGGAGTTAAGGAGCTCTCAGAACAGAGGCCTAAAGGACACCCAAAGTTAGCAGGCACCACTTGGATGAAGATCTAGCAAAGGAGACTGAGGACTCATTAGACAGGTAGGATGAGAACCAGGAGAGAAGACTGTCTCACAAAAAGCTAGAGAAGAGAGAATATGAAGGAGAAGAGGGTGATCAACAGTGCCAAAGACTGCAGAGAAGAGAAGGATGAGGACTGGAAAAAAGGCCATTAGATTTGGCAATTAAGAGATTATTGGTAATTCTGAAGAGGACAATTTCAGTTGAATGATGAGACAGGAAGCCAGACTGCAGAGGTTAAGAAGAACCTACTGTCTCCGGGGACCTTGGGTGTTCAAGTGTTTTGTATAACTACTGTTCTTGTTATATCTTCTCAATAATAATCTAAAAAGCTGTGTGTGAGAGAGAGAAAGGGAGGGAGAGAGAAACGGGGGGGGGAAGAGACAGCATTGGCAGATTTGGAGAGAAGAGTTTCAGTTGTGGATGATATGAAAAGCTTAAGGACTGGGAGGATAGAAAGTGCAGACAGTGAGGATAGACAGTTTTTTCAAGGAGTTTGTCTGAGGAAGGGAATAGAGATCAGTTTGAAGGGTTGGTACAGGTATTAGTGAAAGGTTTTTTTTTTTTTTGCTAGGCAATGGGGTTTTAAGTGACTTGCCCAGGGTCACACAGCTAGTGAGTGTTATGTGTCTGAGGCTGGATTTGAACTCAGGTTTTCCTGACTCCAGGGCCAGTGCTCTGTCTACTGCGCCACTTAGCTGCCCCCTCGTGAAGGTTTTTTAAGGATAAGGGAGAGTTGGGCATGTTTAAAGGAAATTAGAGATGGAACCAGTAGGAAAAAGTACATTGAAGGCTAAATAAGAAAGTTCTGGAGAAATTAAGGGGACATAGAATAGTATTCATTTTGTAGTTTTAAATTAAAAAATCATTTCATCTCCTTGCCAAGAACTGTCTTCTCTATCAGATTGCATCTTAAATTGTATTTTTTCCTACTAAAATTCTCAGATATCATTTTTAAATATCAAATGATATGCAATTAGTAAGAGGAATGATCAATCCAGACAGCTATTTTTATGATTCTGATAGAACAGTTATGAAGTCAAACATTAAAGTTTTAAAGGCATAATTGTACATACAATTGTTAGAGCTGGGAAAGGCTTCTGCCTAAATCCCACATGCATATGATATAGACAAAGAGAAGGGAAGGCCAATAAACTGATGGTCAGCGGTTTCTCTCAGTAACCACAGACACCTAATAGAGACACTGAATGCCTTAAATATTGTTTTGAAAGGGAATACCCCAGACAGGAGAAATCAGCTCTGACTGGTGAACAATTAATAAGGAGGTATACATTGAAATGAAGGGGTGGGCTAAAAGTCTTCAGCTCCACTTGCTGAGAACTTGGCTTGATCATGAGATAGCCACTTCCAGAAATCTGGAGAGACGAAACCATTTCCACCCAGACCACTCTGGTTGATTTTCTCCTTTATGAACTGGGTACCTTAAACTCCAATGGAGGGGTGAAAGGACATGGGCTTATTCTCTCAGGGCAAAAATTGACCTAGAGTAGATTCTGTTTACTCTTCAAACAGAAGTAGTCTCCTTGTTGAGTGCCCGGGATAGGGCAATCTCCTCTATCAGCCATGCCCTTCAGAGACTGGCTGACTGATCGATGTATAGGTGCTGGTCCCTGAAAGAGGAAATAAAAAGCCTGGATCCTAATTAATAACGGGTTATTAATATAATAGAAATTAACCATTTCTCTCAGCCAAAAAGGTAAAGCTACTGAAGTTAGATGGAAGGTGAAGCAGAATCTCACCAGACTCCAATCTAGGATGCTGCAATACACTGGTATCTCTCGACTAAAAAGTTCACACTAATTTTATAAAAAGCTTTTGTCCACCAAATCTCATTTGACTCCAGCTTGACAAAAATCAATCAAACAACAGACATCTATGACTCAGAGGGTTACATTGGAACCTCACTATCAATCACTGTGCCCTCTGGGTCCACCTGGATGTACCTGAACTTATACTGAATTACCTACTTTGCAAATACTATTGTAGTGAGCTCACAGCACATTTCCTAAGTTTTAATTACAACATTTAAAAATCATTCTTATAATAGCTGATCACTAAACACTTCCATTTCCATGTTTTAAAATATAATTATTCAGCTAATACTATAACAAACACATTGGCAAGGTTCAACAAGCAAGGTGAAATGATTTTTAAATGTACTACTTCTGGGATACCAGCCATATGGGACCTTTCTTCTGAGATTGGTTATTCAATAAAATATCTCTATAGAATTACCTCATCATAGATCACCATTTCCCATTTTTTCATGAAGGAAAAAAACAGTAAAGATTAGAATGAAAATTCCATTATAAAACTCTTGTCTTCACCCAATCATACATTTATTAAACAAAAAAAAACCCCAAACTCTTTTCCTGGGGTAGTTTGTAATTGCTGGCTGGAATAAATGTGAATGCTTTTCTCTTTAAGAAAAAACTGAAAAAGTCTTTTCAATTGTTTTGAGTGGTGAGAGGTAATAATATTTTTCCTCAGTAACCCACTGAATATATTTCATACAGCTTAAAAACTGCTAAAGTTAAAATTTCATATCTTTAAGGCTGGGATCATATTACTCTTATGACGGATCAGGACACTATTTCATTGTGATTAGTTGGGGTTTTTTTTGGTTAATTATCCCCCAACCTCATTAAAAATAAAAAATTAAGTGCAAAAACATGTTAGGATATTGCTGAGCCTGAAGCACTTTCCCCACTAAATATGAAGAGTGAAAATTGTAACCACAACATATTTTTGAATTTGAGTTTAACAGAAATCCACACCCACTTTAAAAAGCCCAAAAGGAAATTCAATGCAGTTACCCATTTTGGTCTAAGTGAACTTAAAATGAACTTTTAATGATCAATTTATTAAGAGGATTCTGCAAATCATCTAAACTTTGACACCTCTAGATTATTTGTTCAAGAGAATTATTCAGATTAAAATCTAGTCTTTCGGAGATATCATTAAAAATTAGGTCCTACAAAGGAAAGCTGCACAAAGAAAGTGCTGTTTAGTTACTAAAGTGAATATGCCATTTTCACAAACTCACAGGGACTTAAAGGGTTGAACAGACTTTCTTAATCTCATTGGGATTCTGAAAATTTCTGCAGATGTGAAAGCATTTCCTAGCTCCAACACTGCAGAAAATCAGAAATGATAGGCTAGTAATAAATAGAGACACAGAATGGAATAGTAAATAGAGAACTGATCTTTGATATCAGAAAGACCTGTATTCAAGTCCCATCTTCAATACAAGGTGGCTGTATGACCCTGGAAAAGTCACTTATCTCTTGCTGCTCCCAGCCATTCTCTAAGAATAAATACTGCAGGATTTTTTTATACCATAAAAAGTAGCATAAAACATTTACTACACGTATGATCCTATACATTTTACATATGTTTGCTTTTGTCCTTCTGTTTCTGGGTCATAAAGAAGTTTCTTTCCTCCTACTTTTATCTCATTCAGAATAATATAAACATTCTCTCTTAATTTAAGTTCTTAATTACTCTGTCATTAATTAATTAGTAGGTAGAGATTTGGAAGGTGATATGGGAGAGATGGAGAGATCTGATGGTTTTGGCACTTTGGGATTCTACCCAGGAAAACCAAAATGTGGATACTAGTGTGATAGCAATGGAACTGACATGATTCTGCGCCCTGAATAAGTAAGACCAATCTTTCTCATGCCTTTCCTTAGCAAAGATTCCAAGAAAACATGCTGAAACTTACCTGACAGAAAGTTGTGGGAACAGTTGAGAATTGTAGTCCCTGGTTGTATCCAACTAAGTGGAATTTCATCTGGCTTAGGAGAGCCTATCACCACAATTTCAGCTTCATTAAGCTAAAAAGGAAATTAGCAAAATGAGATTTAATTAATGCTTTTCATTTTTACTAGACTGTATACTCCCAGGAAAGCAAGGATGATGTCTAAATTAAACTTCCTAACTTCCTCAGGACAATGTTTTGCATAAATATTTGTTGAATAAAAATGGATGGAACAGTTAGAAGTGCATTATAATACAATGAAAATACACAAAGGAGAAAAGGGTGGTACAGGCAGGGCACAAAACTCGGAAACCCCTATAAACACTTCTCCAATTTCCTATTTCAAAAAGGGAAGGCACAAAAAGCAGGTATTTTCTCTGGTTTCTTATAAATTAAGACTTCCGAGGTTACTTTTGTGATAAGAAATTGGTAACCCATTCTCTTATACACTGCAACCTATTTAAAACCATGGAATCCAAATTAGATTTATTTGTAGTTGTCAAGGTATCCTCACCTTGTATTTGAGCAGCATTATTACGAGGACTTTTTAGGAGCTCGTGTTTACAGTGAGGAAATTGGCTAGATGATTGCCACTCTCCCTATCTGAGCTAGGTAACAATGTCATCATTATCACTAAATACATTCATCATACTCACTGATTCATCTTCCACGGACTTTGCAATGATTTGTAACTAGGCAGTAAGCCTGGGAGATGGGTCTGCAATGATCTCAGAATCAATGGAGCCTAGTCACCCCAATACATGGACTAAGTAAACAAGATTATAAAGTTTTAGCAATCCAAGAGACCTTACAGATCTGATGGCCAACCTCTCACTTCAAGCCCCTTTTGGGGCAGTTAAAATATGTGAGAACCTTCATGCCTTTCACCTTCATTTCTACTCACTTTTCATTCCTTGCTTGTCTTTACTTTCCACTCCCTCTGAAAATAGTGACAGAAAGAGCTGAAGGGAAAGGGGATGGGTAGTGCACCCTGTTTCTTTAATGATATACCAGATATGTTCTTTCACTTCTGTTTGTTCTTTGGGTTGTGGAAGGTAATAAATATTTCAAGATTTAGGGGTGCGTCACTAATACTTCAATTTATGCTCTTCTCTTATCCAAGGATTTGCACATAGGCAAAAGGGGAAAACAAAGAATAAATGTCTTTGGGTGAATTTAGGACTGGGGGAAAAGAATAGATGGTGGGCATTTTATATACCAATGAGAAAAGTTACAAAGGAGCTTTTTCATAAAGTATGATTGTACTTCAATATCTAAATGTAAAAAAAAAGTCCTCTGAAATATCCTTAAGTAAAATATCAATGGAGCATAATATTATAGGACTTACTTTTTTGGGAAATTCTTAGTATACGCCAGGAAAAAGAAGTAGTGAAATGATGACCATATCTTGGGTTTGGTAATTATGATTTTGTTATTTCATCTTCTCCCTCTCCCTTCAGACCCCAGACAATTAAAAGAATATTTTCTAGGTTTTTGTAACTGTACTCTCTCCTGGTTCTCCTCCTACCTATCTAACCTGTAAGTAAAGTGGATTTAGTATGTATAAGGAGGATTTTGTTATTTCTTTATAGATAATAATAGTTCCATGACCCTAGATAATATTTCTCACAATCATGGTTTGTAAATATCTCCACCACGCTTGCACAGTGAGATACAGGGATGACATAATGTCCGTATGCCCTGTGCTAGGTCACGACAATATTGCTAAAGGTAACCTGTGAGCTTAATGTTGGCAATATGCCTTCTTTGTCTGTTGCCCTATACAGCAAGTGGGCACTGGTCAGTAAGGGGAGGAACCATTTTGGGATCTGGGTAATGCCTAGAGGAATCCAGGTACCTGCTTTGATTGGCTCCCATCAAGGTTTGCAGGGAATCTGTGTTTGCCTCAACCAGCCCCATTGAGGTTTAGGGGAATGAGATAGGAGTTACACTCCTACTTTGTATATTCTCACCCACCCCTTCGAGAAGTGTGATTAGGGAATGCTGCAGGAGTTGGTGTTCCCATTACCAGCAACCTTTTTGAGAAGACTGGACTAGAATAAAGTAAGCTTATTTAATCTCTCCAAAGCTGTCTTCCTGTCTGACCAGATCAAAAGTGAACCTGTGTTGGAACACCTGTTAGTGTTAGGAGCCCTCCTGTGCTCTCTTGCTCAACAAATGGTGTTACCTGTGTGTTTATCTGTGAAACAAACCTCTCCTCAGTTTCCTTTGAAAGACGTTCGTCGAGGTCATGCCTACTGGCCTTGGCTGTCCCCTGAGACTCGGTCCTGGGTCGTCTTCTCCTATTCCCTATCACGGGTCCACAAACTATGCCCAAATTTAGCCAGACCCCTTTTTGTATGGCTCTTGAGCCGTACACATTTTTTTACTGTTTTAAAATACAGTAAAACTTTATTTTAAAATGTAAAAACCATTCTTAGCTCACAGACAAAAAGAGGGCTGTAGTTTGCTCACCCTTGCTCTATGTCAGTTCACGTGGTGATCTCATTAGCTCCTGTGGATTTAACTGTCATCTCTATGCTGATGATTTTCAAAACCACTTATTTAGGCCTACCCTCTCTCCTTACCTCCAGTCTTACATCTCCAGTTCCTTATTAGATATCTCAAACCGGATGGTACACAGACATCTTAAATTCAACATGTCACAAACTGAATTCATTCTTCTCCCCCCAAAATTTCCTCTCTTCTAAACCTCTCTATCAATGTCAAGGGTCCTTCCATCCTTACAAGCCTCTAGGCTTGTAACCCAGGGATCAGCCTTGACTCCCCCCAACCACCACATCCAATCCATTGCCCAGACCTGTCAATTTCACCTTTGCCACATTGCTCAAATACACTCTGATGCTTTTCTGATGCTGCCCCCACCATGTCCCCATCTTCTCACCCTGGCCTATTACACTGGCCTGCGGTGGGTCTGCCTGCCTCAAGTATCTCTCCATTCCAGTGCATCCTCCACTCAGCTGCCAAAGTGAGCTTCCTAAAGCGCAGATCCTATTATATCAGGCACCCTAGTCAATAAATAGGCAGTTGGTGGCACAGTGGATAGAGCGCTAGGCCTGGAGTCAGGAAGACTCATCTTACTTACTAGCTGTATGACCCTAGGCAAGTCACTTAGCCCTGTTTGCCTTGGTGTCCTCTTCTGTAAAATGAGCTGGAGAAGGAAATGGCAAACCAATTTATTATCTCTGCCAAGAAAACCTCAAATGAGGTCATAAACAGTCAGATATGATTGAAATGACTAAACAACAGCAACAACAACAAAAGGCAATAAACTCCAGGGGCTTCCTTTCACCCCCAGTAGCAAATATGAAATCCTTTGTTTGGCATTCACAGCCCTTCAGAACCTCCCCACTCCAGCCTTCTTAACCTTAACCATTCCCTTACACTCTTTAATCCAGAGCTAATGGCCTCCTTGTGGTTTCCCAAACAAGACATACCATCTCTTGGTTTGGGATTTTCTCTGGCTGTTCCCCATGCCTGGAATGTTCTCACTCACCTCTAACTCCCGGCTTCCTTCAAGTTTCAGCTAAAATTCCACCTTTTATAAAAAGCTTTTCTTGATCCTTATTAAATCTAGTGCCTCTTTCTGTTGATTATTTCCAATTTAGCCTGTATAAGCTTGTTTATGCATTGCTGTCTTCCATGTTGTCTCTCCCATTAGACTATTATCTTTTTGAGAATAGAGACTGTCTTCTACCTTTGTGTCTCCAGAGCTTTGCACAGCGCCAGGCACATAGTATAACCTTAATAAATGTTTGTAGACTAACCTAAAATATGTAAAATGATTAAATGATTACTTAATTCATCTCTAGAAAGAAACGGAAAAAGCAGGGCCCAATACAAATAAGTTTAAAAGCACAGATTAAAAACAAAAAGTAGCAACCCATGATTCCTCTGTTAGAAAAGAGATTTGCTGTGATTCACTTTTAAGTATCTACACAGAGCCAACTAATCCCCTCTTTAAAAGTCAACATCCAGAGGGACTTGATCAGTTTGATGGCATGCAAGGGGGAAATACAAAACAAAATATGTTTTAATGTTGCTACAAGGGAGCAGCCTGATTAATCACACTATAAAAGGGCAAAAAAACAACTAACACTTGCTTCAACAACCACTCTTGTTTCTATAACTACAGGACCACAAAACAGCGAAACTGAACAGAAGACATGGAACACAGTATTTTCTGCAGTCCAATATTAACAGCAGTTGGGTCAGTTCAAGTTGCACATGCTATCTGCAAGCTTTATCTAAAAAACAGCTGGACCTCTGGGTGATGTCACAAATGAGAAAAAAATTTCCAGTGGGTGGAGGGCTTTAAACATCTGCATAAAAACAACAGCTCTTCCATACACATACACACACACACACACACACGCATATATGTATGTATGTCTATGTAATACGTATATATACATACGTATCTATGTCTATCTCTATCATACACCACCATGAGAGGCTGAGCCACAGTAAAGGGAAAACTTTCAGAAAGCTGTATAAAAAATAATTAGCTATTCAGGAATTCAACCCTATGACAACAGTCTCAGACAAAAGCAGAAAAAATACAGCCCTTTAAATCCATATGCAGGTCAAGATAATGCTACCAAGACTTAAATGCTCAAGTTAAGAAAATGAAGGACTACACATGGGTTCCCTCAGGTTCCCCAAGAACTTTTGTTTACTATGCACTGTGCCTCTGCTACAACCAACACTTTTTATTACTTATAAATCACTTAAACATCAGCCTTACCTCCTCCTCAAACTCATAAACATACATACTACTAAATCAACAATGTTAATACACAAGAGGGGGACAGCTAATCCCCCAGTGCAAGAGAACAAACTATCGTCCTGTAGCAATAATCATAAGGCACAAGTTATAGCATACTGGGGGCAAGGGCAGGAAGGGAAGGAGCCAGGAGAGAAAGCAGAAAGTTATATACTCAAACAAGCAAGTAATCCACTACAAAACAAGGAAAGATTACAGTGGGCTGGGATTCAAGATATATAACCAACCTCGCTATCTGTTTCTTTTCCCCACTCCCCAACTATGGAGAC